GCATCTCTGCTATGATGAACATCTGCTGAGTTGTTAAAAGGGTTCTAAATGGATGATCACTAGAATAGCACAGGTAAGGGCGGGGCAGTAAGGCAAAAATGTAAGATGACAAAGACATTTTCATCCTCGCTGATGATGTATCGATGAATTTGAACTGAAGAAATGCTGCATGTCACAACCTCCTGTTTATCAGGGCCACTGATGCCCTGTTGAACTCAGAGCATAATCAGCATTCAGACCTGCAGTCTTAAAAAAGAAGGTTCTCCAAGGGTTCCTTAGTAAAGAAATGGTTCTATATAGAACCTTGAACTCTCAAAGAGGGCTCTATTTGCACCAAAAAGGGTTCTTCTATTCTTATAGGCTTGATATCATAACAATAAAAGAATCTTTTTGGTGCTATTTAGAACCCTTTTCAAAAAGGTTCTATATAGAACCATCTACAGCACGTTCTCCATCAATCTGAAGAACCATATAAAGATGCGAAGAATCCTTTAATCATGCAAGGGGTACTTTGTTCGTTTGGTATCCACCACAAAAGCGGTCAGGCCCTACGCTCTTAAAAATGATGCTTCTTCAAGGGTTCTTTAGTAAAGAAATGGTTCTAGATAGAACCTTGAACTCTCAAAGAGGGCTCTATTAGCACCAAAAAGGGTTCTTCTTTTGTTGTATGCTTGACATCATAACACTAGAAGAATCTTTTTGGTGCTATCTAGAACCCTTTTTGAAAAGGTTCTATATAGAACCATCTACAGCACATTCTTCATCAATCTGAAGAACCATATAACGATGCGAAGAACGCTTTAATTATGCAAGGGGTACTTTGAGTGTTCATTTGGTATCGACCACAAAAGTGGTTTGGCTCTAGACTCTTAAAAATGATGCTTCTGTAAGGGTTCTTTAGTGAAGAAAATGGTTCTATATAGAACCATGAACACTCAAAGTATCCCTCGCATGATTTAACTCATTTATTGTATTTGCTAAATAAATTTTACATATTATATTTCTCTTTAATGTTAATGTACAGCTCTACTTTTGTGTGTATCTGTGCTACTATCAGCCACTCCAGCTTATCCCAGTGGTTCTGGATGGAGCTCCATCACTCCAGAGAACACAGTTCCACTGCTCCACAGCTCAAAGCTGGGGGGCTTTATACCCCTCTAGCCCACGCTTGGCACTGGGCATGGTGACCTTAGGCTCATGTGCTCATGTAGGCTGCTCTAGAGCGTCCCATTCAGCTGGTCAGTGCTTTTCTATGGAGATGATACGGGCTGTGTTGTATCACCGATTTTGAATGCAAAGACATATTCAAATCTCACTCTCTGTCAGAGAACTACTGTATTCTTCTTACCTGACGCACAATGGATGCACAGTGATCACACAGAAAGTGTTGTGAATGGCAGTATATAAATCTTTAAGCTGCACCGAAGCCCAGCAGCTTCATCCAAAGTTAAATTACATACTGCGGAGTTAAAGTGTAATGGCTTTAACCCACTGCCTGTTCATAACGTCCTGGCCGGACGCTGCTGGGGTGCCGGAGTTTAAAAATAGTTTTACGAGCGCGCTCCGAGTCCCCGGCACAGGCGTGCAAATTCTTGACATGCTGCCACAAGTATAAGTTACTGAACCTCTTCAGGATCGAACTGACAATCCGTCCTGCCACGTCTCTTTCCTTTAGCTGTTACATAGAAAGATAAAATGTTCATCTTGTTTATGAACTATAAAAGCGTGGTTGTCATGCGTAGTTGAAGTCTCAATATACCTGCGTTCTCCTGAAATGGCTTGATTTTTCAGTGAGAAGAGCCTCAGTAGTTTAGTTAATTGTTCAACCAATCAAGTCAATCAGTGAGTCAGCCAGACCTCTCAAGCAGAACAGTATTTTACTTTTTTACTTTTAGTTGTTTTATATCCTAGTTTGTATTTTCACTACATGTTTAATGGATGCTTATATACTGGTGTCGGAACAAAACCTCGTATCTCCAAAATGGTAACTTTAAAGGAGAAGGAAAAAACATACTTTACTTTTAACATAAGTCAATGGAACCAGACTTCTTTCCCAGTCATTTTGGGTCGTTTCTTTTAGTCCATTCATCATGAAATTTACTCACAATGTAAAAGGCAACAGGTATTTTCAAATTATGCCAAAACCTGAAAAATGGCAAAAATGGTTTTGTTCTGAGAGTAGCAATATATATGTCTATCCATACAGACACATATATATGGATATATCGCTACTGATGGAACAAAACCTGACAAAACCTGCTGCCTTTTACATTGTGTGTAAATATCTTAATGAGTGGACTAAAAGAAATGACCCAGAATTACTTGGAAAGACGTCTGGTTCCATTGACTTACATTAAAAGTAAAGTATGTTTTTTCCTTCTCCTGTAAAGTTACAGTTAATTTTGGAGATACAAGGTTTTGTTCTGACAACAGCGATATGTATACCACACACACACACACACACACACACACACCCCTTGCTTTTTGATTCACAATGAAAGTGTTGTTGTCATGATTCATTATAACAATCCACTTCGCTCTTGTGCTCAGTATCTAGTAAGAATCTGCTCAGTTTAGAATATTCAGTATCTACTATGAATAATTCAGTAACTTCTATAAAGTGCTCTTATTCCGTTACTACTATTTATTATTCAGTAACAACTATGAACTATTTGTAACTACTGTGAACTATTTTACACCTACTATGAATTATTCAGTATCTACTATAAACATAATATTTAAGTTTTGTAGTTTATAATGTTTTATGGCCTTTGCAATGTGTTGCTGTAGTAGTGTCGGCTCTGAAGTCCAATTGTTGCTGTAACTGAAAATGAATTACTTTAGAAAGTGTTATGTAGTTATGAGAGTGAGGACGTATGGAATTCTTGCACTGTTAAAACTAAAAAATTAAAAACGTGACTAGTTTAAGGTTCGGATTTAAACTTTACTGAGAACATCAGCTTAAGATGAAACGTCAAGTGGATTTGACAGTTAAGACTTAAAGGAGTTGAAAAGTGAAATAAAAATGACTTTAATGTAATTAAACATGCTAAAAAGGTAAACGTGCAAATTAGACAAAAGGAGAGAAGGAAAAAAAGAAAGAAACAATCAGATTAGAAGGCTTTGCAGTTTTTTTTTGAAGGCCTCTCCCCGGCTTTGGACAAAAGTGTGTCAGTAGAGCAGCTCTTCCACATTATCCTGACCCTTCTGAGCAGCGTGTGCGCCGGCCAATCAGAGACGAGGCTTTCCCGTCAGGAGCCAGTGGGAGACGGGAATGGGCAGGACTTGGAGATGCTCGTCATCCTGTTGCTATGGCGACCTCCCCTGAATAAGTGCATTCGTGGAACGTGGCCAGACGGCGGTTATATAACAGGAGGAGGGAGGGGGTGAACGAACGGCGGGGAAGGGGAGGGTGAACGAGAGAGTTAAAAAAAAAGAGAAGAATGAGTGACACCGTTTTCTGCCGTCTGCGCATGTTTATTATGATTTTATTCATTTTATCGCTGGAAAAAGTTCTGATTTATCCCTCACGTCATGCTTTAGATCTCTCTCCGAGGAACGCTGAAGGACTTCTTGCTGAATCATTAGTCACTCCAGCGCGCTCTCTCTCTCTCTCTCTCTCTCCCTCTCTCTCTCTCTCTCCCTCTCTCTCTCTCTCCCTCTTTCTCATGACGCACACGAAAAGCCCCCTTCCTTCACTCGGGTGGGTGTTGATTACCCCCCAAACGCTCAGCTCGCTCTGTCACACTAAATTAGGTGTTACCTAACAGCTTGCGTCACCACACAAAACTCATAAGGGATAAAAAACTGTGAAGTGCTTGAAAAGAGCTTCATCTGGAAGAGTCCACGGCGCTCTGAGCCGATTTCCCTGCTAGCGTTTCACTCTCGTAGGTTCGAGAAGGGCCTGCGGACGTGAAATCCTATAACCTTCCACACGCTGCTGACCTGCTGTTCCTGGACACCAGCTTTCACATGAGCAGCAGAGTGAAGGAGCAGCCGGTCTGTGGAGGGTCTTCAGCTGTAGACAGTTGTTTAAATATCTTGTTTATTCAAGTTTGTTTAATTTGCCTTTGTGTTTCATGCGAAGAAGTTCTGTGAGTGGCTTCCCAAGCCAATGCATTTACAAACAAATACTTTAATATAATAAGTATTATGGTCACACTTTATTTGGATGGTCCCCTATAAATGCTCCACAGATACTTAAATCATCAGCAAACCTTCTGGTGAAGGATTAGGGTTAGGAGTGGATGTAGGTTTTGCCTAGAGGTTAAGGTTAGGGTTAGGATTAGTATTAGGATTAAGCTCATTCAATGGACATTTAGTTGAATATTACTTATAGACAGACTGCTGTCAGAACAAAACCTTGTATCTCCATTTTTGTTGATTTTCAGTTTTTGACGTAATTTGAAAATGCCTGTTGCGCTTTACATTGTGTGTAAATTTAATGATGAATGGACCAAAAGAAACGGCCCAAAATGACTTGGAAAGACGTCTGGTTCCATTGACTTACATTAAAAGTAGAGTGTGTTTTTTCCTTCTCCTGTAAAGTTACCATTTTGGAGATGCGAGGTTTTGTTCCGACAGCAGTGATATATTAAGATGCGATATTCACAGTGTTGCCTCTTTTTGTCTGAATCGTCTGAATCGTCTATGCAGAGGAACTAACAGTGTTTAATACTTCATCTCTGGTTTCATTACATCATTATGAAATATTGTAGGTCAGAGTTTTATGAAGTGGATTTTAAATTCCACTGCTTTATCTTTCCTATTAAAGAGGAACAGCTGGAAAAAGAAGCTGCTGGAAAAATTTCCACTGGTTCGGTGGCGGCGGTGCCTGCAGCAGTGTTCTGACCTATTTATCAGTCATTTATTGAACCAGTGCTCATAGATCAATGGGTCAGACAAAGGACATCACCGGCCTGTGTCACTAACATGATAATAACACCTCTCTCTCTCTCTCTCTCTCTCTCTCTCTCTCTCTCTCTCTCTCTCTCTCTCAGCTCAAATCGAGGTGATACCTTGTAAGATCTGCGGTGATAAATCGTCAGGTATTCATTATGGAGTCATCACCTGTGAGGGGTGCAAGGTAACGTCATCACATCGGAGTTGGTAGAATATAACATATTTCACAATAAATCTCTTCTTACATGCAGATACATCTACTAACAAAAGGTCAAACCCACTGGTCAGAAATTTGGAATCAATATAAAACTAATTTTGTTTTCATGTAGTTTCATATAATAAGTTTTCATATAGTTAGTAGAAAGCTGAAAAATGTACGCAGAAATTGTAGATGAACAGAGTTGCAGATGATAACTGTAATAAACGTGGACGATTAACCAAATTGTGATTAGTATTATATTAATATTGTGATTAATTTTATCCAAAATGAAGTTCTAGTAAAATAAACAACCAGAATGGTGATAATAAAGTTAATAACCAGAATGACTTTCTAATGAAATGAATATCCACAATGAGATGATAAAAAAAATGTATAACCAGAATGAAGCGGTTATAAAAATTAATAACCAGAATGAAGTTCTATCAAAATTAATATCCAGAATGACATTTTAATAAAATTGATTTCTAGAATAAAATGTAATAAAATTAACACGTAGAATGGCATTATAATAAAAATGAATATCCAGAATGAAATGATAAAAAAATGAATAACCAGAATGAAGTTCTATCAAAATTAATATCCAGAATTAAAATGATAGTAAAATTCATTTTTAGAATGAATTTTTAATAAAATGAATGCGTAGAATGACATTATAATAAAAAGGAATATCCAGAATATCTTGTGTTCATGGAATCTCAAGGAGGATAATTTGATGAAAATGATTCACTATAGATACCGGATATTATTTACATAACTTTAACAATGTGTTTAACGTCTTATTCACAGTATATTTCCAATATTAAATATTAAAAATCAGTGTATCTAATTTATCTAGTGTTTGCAAAGTTTTAAATGGCATCTTTGGGCCTTTTGTTTCTGTGCTGCATCCTATATTACTAAGACTTTATGGAATTGCACTTTATTATACTGTAATTATCATATTTTGTATAGAACAGTGATTTCCAGTTCAGTCCCCAGCTGGTCCACAGTCTTAACTAACTCTTAACGCACCTGAGCCAGGTGAGCTAATGTTCCGCGTGGGCAGCCTGCAGGGAGCCAGTGCTCTGTTATTTTGGTCTGAAGTTTTGAATGAAGAGTGTTTTTCCTTTCATTCCGGAGTGCTGTTGGGAATTCTATTATAATCTGATCCCCTTTGAATCACCAGTTTCCACTGGTTCAGCCCCAGGAGCCGAATGAAGTGATTTCATCTGCGTTATGAAACACCAAACAGGAACCAACTGTTTTCTCGGTTTCATTTAAATCCCAGTCGGTGTCGCCTTAAAAATAAAAATCGTATTCTTACCCTCCTCTGTCCTGACCCTGTTAGTTAGGAGTTGTCGTTTATGGTCAGTCCGACCCCGCGCTGGTTGTGTGTTTGATTCCGGCTGTGTTTCTGTTTTCCTGCAGGGTTTCTTCCGCCGCAGTCAGCAGAACAACGCCATGTACTCATGTTCTCGGCAGAGGAACTGCCTGATCGACCGCACCAACCGCAACCGCTGCCAGCACTGCCGTCTGCAGAAGTGTCTGGCACTCGGCATGAGCCGCGACGGTGAGTGACCCGCCGCTGACCCCAAAGACACCTGCTGCCTTCTGAAATGAAGGGAGTTTATCCCTCTTTGCTGGAGTAGCAGCCTCTACTCCTCTGGGAACCCTTCAGATGCTGGAACCTTATTCTGTTTTAACTTATTATCCTATGATTTTCCCCTTGCTTATGCAAGTCGATTATCTGACCTTCTCAGAAATATTTCGCAAAAAAATTTAACAACTTATGGCTTAGTGGCCGTTTTGACTGGAAATGAAGTAAATGACGGGTGGTCTCCGACTTTTACACTGTGCTGTATTTTGCGAAACTCTTCTTAAATAAAATTTAATTTAGTCACTCTCTCTCTTTCCTCTTTTTCAGCTGTGAAGTTCGGCCGCATGTCCAAAAAGCAGCGGGACAGCCTGTACGCGGAGGTGCAGAAGCACCAGCAGTCTCAGGAGCGGGCCGGGGGCACTGGGGCCGTCTCTTTGCCCCCCCGCGGGGGAGATGAAGTTGGAGAGAATGGTAACAGTGGGCACGGAAGAGCATACAGCCGCAGCAGCTCCAGCACGGCCCTCAGCGACCTGGACGACATCGGAGCGCTGCCGGACAGCCTGCTGTTCGACCTGCCGCTGACACCAGAGGGTGCCGGAGAGTACTGCAGCCTGGAGATGCTGGGGGGCAGCAGGGGCAGCAGCTCCTCCTCTCAGAGCTCCCCCGAACAGAGCGGACAGGAGTTCAGCGACACACCCCACATCAAACACGAGTACGAGCTGCTCCACGAGACCGGCATGTACACACACTCTCCACTCAACGGCCAGCCTGACGGATGCTCCCTGCTGGAGATAGGTCAGACTCCCCTGCACTAGACACTCTTATATTGTGGGTATTCCACTACTTTTTGATTGGGCTGCACGATCTTTTGTTTCCGTTATCGTGATGAGTTTCTGCAATAAACACATCATTAATTACCTCACGCAGCATCAAAGTGATGAAATTAGATTGGCGGGAACGTAGCATTAAAAAACTGTTCTCATTCTCAGTGTGTAACGTGTAAAGCAGTAATGGCTGCAGGCACAACAAATCTGCATCATCATAATGAGCTTTTAATGCATTTATTTATTTTTTAGGCCAATATTGAAAATAAAAATATAAGTATTTATTCATGCAAACACGAATAGAAAAGGCTGTTCAGGGAATCCTGAGTGTTTTTAGATGAAAACAACTCTTGGAACTTATGTTACTACAAATTCTCCACAAGGGGGTGCCATTAGCAGTCAACTTACTTTTTATTTCATTATTTTTATATTTGCACAATAGTGAACGGTGCTTTTGTCATTTTTTATCAGAGACACACTATTTTAATAATACTTTATCGCTTCTCATATTATCATGGTGATATCGAACAGCTTTATCGAACATTGCGTTTATGTCTATATCGTGCAGCCCTAATGTGTAATAAGTTAACCCAGTCACTTTTGGGTGTTCAGTAGGGGTGGAAATCAATAGAAGACCCATGATACACTATTACTAGAAATGTATGATGATGTCAGAATCTTATTGGTACAGAAGTGTTTTTAAAAAATTGTAGCATCACAAAAATTTTTAGATTTGACTGATATTTCAAACCAGTATTTGTATATCAGTAACAGTATATCATTCATTTTACTGCATCTTAGGTATCACCATACAATTCAATTGTGATATTTAAAGGTTTTATATGCTAAGAATTGAAATGTGTTGCAAGTTACGGCTCTGAAGGAAAACCTTTTGTCTTTCACTTCACTCTTTATATTGATGCAGAATAGAATAATGAAGTAGACAAAGCAACAACAAAAAAACTACATTTGCATTTAGCAGGTTTTCTTATTGTGCTTGATTCTGATTGCTGCCTGGTTGGAATCAAAGCTCACTCTCCAATGTGGAGCAGTGGTGTTATCCACTGCGGTACCCAACCACACCTACCAACAACAAAGGCAGGAGCCTAGGTCTCTCAAAAAAGAAAGACATCTCAGTGCCATCTTGTGAACTACGGAAGCATTAGATGTTCCTATAACTTGTTGAATGGACTTCATGCATGTTAAATATCTTAGTCAAATATCGAAATGTCAATATTTGGGTCTCCTGAGTGGTGCAACCATCCAAACGTTGGCGATCCCTGGTGATGCTACAGCCATCCATGGCCGGGAGTCCGTAAGAGACACAGTTGTCCTCGCTCTCTCTGAGTGGGCAGGATAGCCCCCCTTCTCCCCCATCACACAGCACGATGCTAGTCAGCGCAAGCCTCTGTTAGCTGACATAACATAACTGGCAGTTGGCGTGGCAGTTTAAAAAGATGCGCTTGCGCTTCACAGGACTCGGAGAAAGCCTTTACTAGCTCTTGCCCTACTAGCGCTGGTGGTATCGTGTGATTGAGGGAGTCCTAAGTAGTGGGTGGAATTAAAGATGTTTAAATTGGTTTGAAAAAAAGTCAGTATTTGAGCCTCGATACATTATTCCACTCAAAATATCAGAAAACTATTTTGATTTTTTCTCCCAGCCTTATAATTCAGTGTTTTTTTTTTAAATAATTTTGACTCATATCGAAAGAATTGAATTGAGATGAACTGAATCGTGGTGAGATTTGGGATTTTGTGATGCAGTGAGTCATTCCCTAAAGAATTACAAGAAAATCGATCAGAAATTAGAGAGATTTACACTCACCCAATACGGATATCAGAACTCTCTTAGTATTTCATGCAGTTAAATAGGTTTTCGACTCAGTGTGTCAAAGAGAACTGCAGAGTCATGTGGTGTGGATGGTGTGCCTGACGGAGCTTATGTAATTTGCGTTGTGTCTCTTGGTTTTACATGCATGATTTCCATGGAAGGCAGTGCCGTCATACCAAAACAATAACACACTGTATGAGCTGACAGCTTACAGTGATGCATCACAGCTTCCATACATTCTGCTCAGTCAAGCATTGACTACAGTTATAATGAGTTACAGCACTTGACAGTGCAGCTAAACCCTTAAACCTGTATTCGGGCCCACACTTTACATGTTTTATCATCAAAAATTAGAGGTGGGTAATCCAGGTCCAAAAAGCAAAAACCCTCCCCAGGATTTTGTTCCAACAGCTTGACTTCTCTAATTTGCTCAGACCAGCAGTAAAGGTGTTCAGGCAGTTGGAACAAAATCCCGGGGAGGGTTTTTACGTTCTGGACCTGGATTACCCACCTCTACAAATAATTTATAGGAAAATGCTGGCTACAAAGTGTTTATAGTTCTGTGTTCATGTTTAATTTATAATAATAATAATCAGTCTAGAGTTCAAGGGATTGAATCTAAAACAGCACAAAGAATGGTATTTTATTGTCTTCTCAGCATGAAGTTTGTGTTCATGTGTTTGTGTGTGTTGTTTACAGAGCGTATCACCCAGAGTGTTGTGAAATCCCACATCGAGACGAGTCAGTACAGCCCCGAGGAACTGAAACGGCTCACCTGGAATTTCTACACAGCTGAGGAGACTCGCACCTACCAGAACAAGGTACTCAAATAATGGATCAAGCTTTGGGTTTAAATCTATAAGAATAGAGTTATAGCTGAAGTAAGGGCGCTATAATAACTACACTCAGCCTTAAATTGCTTATATTGGTACTGAAGCTGTATGGTACTAGTATTATAATGCAAACAGGCCAGTTTTTCGTGGTGTTGTCGTGAAAGGTATCCCTGGTTAAGGTGTGTAGACATAACACCCAATATTGCTGTTCTATGGAGTTAATTTAGTGCCAAAAGTCTCAAATATAATAATAAAATTCACAAGCAAAATATTAAGTATCAAAATGTCTGAGATGTTGCAAATACGAATTGTGAGAATTAAATCAAAATTAACTTTTTAAAAAGATGACTACGCACTTTGATTCCAGACGCAAAAAATATATCAGCAAATCATCAAATAACTCTCATTATTTGCATTTACAAAATATTTTGGACAATTTGATACTCAATATTTTGCTTGTTGATTTTATTGAGTGCATGTATTTAATAATCCGATAACTGCGGAAAATCAGATTTTGTCGTTAAACTGATCAACGTGTTTAATTGCACTTGAGTCATCAGATAAAGGGCAAACTCTGGGTCTACATGAGTCAGACAGTAATCGGATTTCTGCTTTGCAACCAGCCAGTAAACTCACAGAAGAAGACGTGACGTAAACGTAATGTAAAACTCGAACTTCATACCGTGGCTTTTTTTTTAAACATTGAGCCACTTTACCTGAAAATATGAACAAACATTATTTAGAAGATGAAGAATATTTAAATCCTTATTTCGTCAAGCATGTAGTCGATTTCAGCGTTGCTACAAAAGTGTTTTGTTGCGTCTTGCGGCGACACTGCTCACTTATTTCCGGTACCGCAGCCTGTTTTTGCACACGCTCAGACTGAGAAATCTGAAAGAAATCAGAGTAAGAGTTTACATGCACTGAGAAATCTGATTACTGAGTTAAAATCCAGCCTCTTTTATTAGATTTCTTAATCAGATTTCTAGACCTTACTCTGATGTAAGAAATGAGACTGTGCTGTTTACATGACCATTTGAATAATCAGATAACTGCAGAAATCCGATTATGATTGGATTATTGAGTACATGTAAACGCACTCAGTGTTTTATATGATACTTTTGGCACAAAATTAACTCCGTACTGTTCATTTCTAATATTTAAACACAGTATGTTATTGCTGGTAGATCAAAATCTCATAAAGGGACGTTCAGACTTCCTAAACATGAAACGTGCCACATTTTTATATTGTGTGCAGATTTCAGGACAAATGGACCAGTCAGAATTGTCCAAACTTACCAGAAAAGTAAAACGAAATAGCGACGATATCCCATGCATATGTGGCATTATCTTACAGTCAGACTATGATGACTAAGAAAAAAATGTCCCTGGATGAGCTTCCTCATCTGTATATTTATATAGAATTGTTCTATTTAAGATATGGGAGGCAATAAGTGGTTCTAGATCAGGAGTCTTTACCCTAATCTGAAATATACGGTCCAGTATAAAGTGTTTGTGGTGCTAACAGCTTCGTTCTCCTCTGGTTCACACAGCAGACGGAGGTGATGTGGCAGCAGTGTGCGGTTCACCTCACTAACGCCATCCAGTACGTGGTGGAGTTCGCCAAGCGCATCACCGGCTTCATGGATCTGTGTCAAAACGACCAGATCATCCTCCTCAAAGCAGGTCAGCACCACTTATCGCCATGGGAACGACCGTCAGATGCAGTGTGAATCACTCTGTTGTTCATAAGTTTGGAATCATTTGTCTTCTTAATAATTGCTATTTCATATACAGTAATAATAATAATAATAATAATAATAATACAGTTTTAAGTTGAAATAATGTACTGTAAGTTAATTCACTGTAATTAATTATCATTTTTTATTTGAGATTTGATCACTTTTGAATTACTTTTGAGGCATTCTGGATATAAATTTTATTAGAACTTCATTCTATATTTATATTATTATGATGCTCCATAGCTTTCTCACTCGTTTTACTCATCTTCTCCAGCTCTGTTCATCATTCAGCATTTCTGCATTATTATTTACAGCTTCCTGCTAAACAGTTGAAACCTGTTTGAACCTGTTTGAGTTACAGCATCATATCAGAGACATGTTTTAATGTACTAGCAACAAAATCGTTGGAACACAGCTGGTTTTATATTACTTAAAACAATGATTTAACACTCATGCGGTCTTGCGCCCACCCGAAGGTCCCTGAAGCCCCCCTTTTTAAGACTTCTGTGAAATGCAAATGTAGAAATGTTGTGTTTCAGTGCAGTTCTATCTTTTTCTCATTCGCAAATATATTATATCATGAACAGAGGAGTTGGAGAAGGCTGGTTAAATCAATGAGTAAAACAGAATAGTCTGCATTATTCATTGTTTTTGTGCTAACAGTTGCTTTTCTTGTTTCCTTCTCTCTCTCTCGCTTTCTCCCCCTCTCTTTGTCCTTCTTTGTGCATTGTTTGCTGTGCTTTTTACCCGATTTCACATTTAAATGAAAACAAAACCCACTTGTCACTTTTTTCCTCCGAAACCACTAAATCCATTATCACCACAATTATTTGAATGTTGACGATACATTACTTTTTTTGCGCTCATCCTTTTCCCATCAATTTGGATTTGAATTCCATTTGAATGAATGGCGGGTGGAACCTTTTTTCTCTTTTCTGTCTCTGCCCTCCTGCTCCCCCTGGTCTCTGTACGCTCCTTTTGCTCTGCAGGCTGTCTGGACGTGTTGCTGATCCGGATGTGTCGAGTTTATAACCCCCTCAACCACACCCTGCTGTTTGATGGGAAGTTTGCGAGCCCTCAGCTCTTTAAAACACTCGGTAAGACTTCGCACACATAGATGACGGGCATTGCGTTAATGAGACGCTTATGTTTAGTATAATGAGGGAAAAAAGCCGCAGAGTGCGTTCAGAATGGTCTAAAGTCATTTTTTTGCAACATTTGTAAACTGAATGAACATTTATAAGTGCCCATTTTAATTTGTATCATGTAATTTTCATCATTTTTCTCTTTTATTCACAGTCAGATTTGGATTTTCTTTTGTTTTGTTACAAATCAATAGCCCCGTGTGACCAAAAGACTGAATAAGACTGTGTTGTATGATTGATTTTGAAAAATGTACCAAAGCAACATTAAATATTTGAGATATGGACATAAATGGGTTAATATGGGTTAAGGAGTCACTGCATAGTAGGGCTTAGTCATAATTCAAAAATCACAATATCGCTGCAGTTGGAACAAAATCTCATTATCTCCAAAATTATGACTTTACAAGAGAAGGAAAAAACCTGCTTTGCTTTTAATGTGAGTAAATGGAACCAGATGTTTTTCCAAGTCATTTTGGGCCGTTTCCTTTGGTCCATCCGTTATGAAATTTACACACAGTGTAAAGACCAACAGGCATTTTCAAATTATGTCAAAAACTGAAAAACAGAGATACAAGGTTTGGTCCCAACAGCAGCCATATATTTTTTATATACTTTTATATATTAATACTTTGATACAATTGAAAATAATTGCTCATTATATGCATTATACTGTATATTTCATAAAAAATGTTTGGGCACAGCTGATCAAATGCCATGTTTTGTTGATTTTCTCATTGCAAATAAGGCCTCTACAGAGAAGACACTTGTATATAACAACTTTAGTGCACAGTTTTTTATCTTATTGTCCTTCATTAATAGAATTGATTGGATTTCCTGAGTGGAAAATGGGTAATTGGTTTCCTTTCTTCTTCTATTCCTAGAAACACATCAAAACATGCAATTTGACCCAAACTTTGTACTGTATAAAAACATATAGCAAGTAAAAGGCACAGATAACCACTCAGTCTGCCTGGTGTATTGAGGAGCAGAACGCTGTAATCACATCATCAAAAGTGCTTCAAAGGCATTATCGTTATTGCAGTTTTCAGCTTGGAGCCGAGAGCGTTTTTCAGTTACAGATACGTTGCCGTTTTAATCAGTGCTTCAATCCGCACTGGCCGACAAAGTGTGGGCGCCTGCATCTTGCCACATCTTTTTCAGTTATTTTTCCTGAGTGGAGCATAAACTCCATAGAGATCCTGTCAGATTTGATACTCCTACTTGTGGTAGCACTGTGAACTGTATCCTAGACCGTAATTTACTAAAACGTTATAATAATTCAAAGCAGATCCTGAGACTTATGATGAAGAAGCCAACAGCGGTGCTGCTTGTGCTGTCAAGTTTCAAATGTGCTATAAATCTGTAAAGAAAAGGACCTAAAAAGGTCTCATATTCCCACTTGGATCCAGATTGGATTGCTTGGCTGCTTGGACTTCAGTTACACCAGAGAGGATTTATGAAAGCATGTAAAAATATTTCTGAGAATGCGATCAAATGGTTTTGGCATGAGGGATGGGGGACTCATTGCCCTTTTATACACTGTTAGAAATAAAGGTTCTGTGCAGATACATTTTTAGTTCATCAAGGTACAAACAGTGTAAATGTTCCCTCAAAGCTCCAACAGTGGTTTTAAGGTCTGATTGTGAACCTTAAATAAGTTTTTCCAGGTGAAACGTTCGTATTTGTACCTTTTCATAACCGAATGTTTTAAACAGAACAGTAAAATAAAAGCCTGGAGACGAGACGGGGTGTGTGGAGTCAGTACAGCTTAGAACATATAATTTCAGTGGATTATGGTTCAGTTATGTTCCCTGACTAAAGGTACTGAGATGGACCATTGAGGGTCCCACCCCAGTGACAAGAGGGGTCCTGCACCAGTGACAGTTTAGGACCTTTATTTCTGAGAGTGTACAGGCAACAGAGACTCAAGTCTCTTTCATCTAGTTCACCAAACTTTAGTGATTACTTCCCCCTCTTTGTGATTACGGCAAACTTGTGTCCTTTTTTGGTGATTGCTAGACTGCTGTGACTATTTTGAGCCTGAACACGCATCTTCTGATGAGCTGATTTTAAGAAAAAACAGTTTTATTTTGGGTCTGTTCAGCCATCTGCTGGGTCTTTCAGCTGTTGTGGATGAAGCAAGACTTAAGCAGACAGGAGCTGTATCTCTTTTCATCCCATTGACTTTAACCCTTGAGTGGTGTTGATGTGTTTGTTACTCAGTGGTCTGTTTGACCCACCGCATTATTGTTTTTTCAAATCAATACAGCCATAAAAATTGATGTAAAAATACCAGATGTTTAAAATATCACAAGTGTCCAGAGTTCTGCTTTAGCAGCTGTAGCCAGTCAGCAGCCTGTCTATGTTGTCCACCCTCACACACACACACACACACACATACACACAGATACACACACACTAACACCAGGCCATGTAGGAGGAGAACAGAGTGAAGGACACAGCACCTCCACACTTTTACTCCCCACAGATTCACCCAACACCACATGTGTAGTATAAATGTGTGGGGGGGTGAACAGAGTGAAGACACTGAAAATGGGATATTTTATATGTTCTTCACAGAAAATGAGCAAAGGCCAAGAATCTGAGGTTGAAATAATAATAAATCACATCATTTTCTATTTGGTAAACATTGAAAACGGGTCCCACAGACCCAAACACCACACAAGGGTTAATAGGTGTCGCTATTTTGGTTTACCTTATATACCGCCTTTGCGTACAGCATGCTTATATGAGGCTGACGTGTCGTACCTGGTGTGAATTCAGGGTAACAGTCACTCAGTACGTTGTTATGTTGGCTGTTCTACTCAGTTTAACCCTGTACTGCTTGTACAATATAACTCAAAAGTAAATATATGAGCAGATAAGTGAGTAATCGGTTTCCTTCCTGCTTCTGCTCTAATAGAGGTTCTCAGTGCCAGTTGTGGCTGTTCCTAGCTGCTCGGCTCTGAACCAAGAGGTGTTGATTGGCTGATAAGCTGAGTCAGGTGGTAGAACATGTCTGAGAGCTCAGCAGTAACCTTTATTTGTGTGATGTCCACTTTTTTCTGCAGGCTGTGATGACCTGGTGAATGCTGTGTATGAACTGGCCAAGTCCATGAGCCGCCTGCAGCTCACCGAGGAGGAGATGGCTCTTTTCAGCGCCGCTGTCCTCCTCTCTCCAGGTCCTCCACCTTATTTCATTTACTTAGATTACTATTATCATTGTTACACACAAGCAGAATGGAACTGTTTTGTAGCGAAGTATCGAATAGAGTCAAAATTAAGCCTGTAGTGACAGAATTCCCTGGTGATGCAATCAAAACATTCCCAAATTGACCCTTCAGGACTGGACGAATTTATTTAAATGGATATACAAGCTGATGTGGAGGGAATAAAGTGTTTACAGGCAGGGGCACTAGGCAAAGGTTGGCAGCCACATCAGGCCCCACAGAGACAAGGGCCTCATGAATATTCATGATATTCATGACATGTGTATATCAGGCACAGTAACAAAATCAGACTTTTTAATTGTGAGGGATAAAAAGAGGTTGGAAAATGTCCATGTATAAAAAAAAAACATGGTATGTAAAGTCACACATACATCATTATTTTAGCCTTAGGACCAATAATGAAATTAAAACTATTAGATAAATAACTAGATAAGATTTAAGACAATTTCACTTGCCAGTCTATCAATGTTGCTTCACTTGGAATCCCAAAATCTCTACTAATTTAAAAATGGCTCATCCAGAGGGCCCCATTCTTGTCTTTTGCCTAGAGCCCTAAAATCACCATATCAGCCCCTGTTTACGGGTGTTGTAACAGTTCTGGGTGTGTTTTTCCACAGACCGACCATGGCTTACGGATAGCCAGCGGGTTCAGAGGCTTCAGGAGAAAGTCTACCTGGCACTGCAGTACTGCCTGAACAGAGGGGGCACCTCAGAGGAGAAACTGACCAAGGTGAAGTAGACTTCGCTGTTTTAGGGATGCTGATGTGTATTTAAGTAAAGTGCAAGACAGTGTAAAGTAGAGGTCTTTAATTAAAATTCAGTAAGGTCCAGTTAAAGAAAACTTCCTCAAGCAAAGGTCCAGAACATCATAATGTCTAACTTGCATCATGATTCAGTGCCATATACTGTTTACTGAAGTAGCCTAGTAGGTATATCAACATCTTATACAGTCAACAACTGAATGTCAAATCAAATAAAGTACAGTTCAGTAATATTTCAACAACATTTATTGTCAGTAAAGACCGTAAAGGCTAGAAAAGTTACGCCTATTAAAATAGGACCACCCCGTCAAAATTAAATAGTTCTCCATAGTTTATCGGTTATAGGTCCAGGTGTGCATAGGACAGCGCCTGGGTCCAGACTCGGTCCGCAGTCCCTCTATTAGTGACCTCTGGTGTAAAGTAATACTGCATTCATAGCTCATAACTTTAGTGCATTTTTGTTGTATGATGTATACTGATGTATTTAATACTTTACCATGGTAATATAGTATTGTAGTAATCCTCTTTTTTTGTTGTTAAGTTTAAGTTGGAAACAAAAGGGTTAAATTCTTGAAACACCCAACAGAAAATTATCCAGTCAGGAACAGTAACAAAAACCAGTCTGTTTAATTTTAAGGGATATAGAGAGTTGGAAAATGGTCATGTAATTTGAAACATGACTAATACGGTACATAAAAGCAAATACGTATCATAGGTGGACCTTATGGGAAGTGAATTACAAGTCAAATGAAGCATATATGTCCTTTAAAGTTATCACTCATATAGCCAGTGTTACTAGGTTAGCCTTTTGCTGACAATACTCACTTTCGTGGAGGGGTCCATGGTGTTTCCCCACTAGCTGGAATGTTAGAGGTCAAAAATTGCATAATTCCAAACTCCAACTTCCCACAATCAAACACACTAAAAACACTCTATGTGTGGCCTGAGTGGTCAGTTTTGACACAGTCAAATAATTTGTTTGTCCTAAAAGGTTACTATAGCAAATAGTATATGAAGTGAATAGTACACGAAGACTAATAGGGCAAGAATGACTGCAGTTAGCATGATCACATTAGCATGGTCGAGCTAACTGCTAGCTTTTGTGCTGTAGCTATGTGAATAGTTACTTATTTGTGCCTTGTTAGCATTCATTCACCGTTAGCCATGTTAGCGTTTTGGCCAAAGCCTCTTCCTAGGCTAAATGACATTCTTCTTGAGCTTTATTCAGTAATTAACTTTATGATGTATAATTCTATTACTACTCTAAATGACTCAGTAAGTACTATAAATTATTCAGTAAATCATTTGATAACTAATGTGAATTATTCAGTAATTATCCAGTGGTTAATATAATTATTCAGTAGCACTGTGAAACATTTTACTATAATATCTACTATGACTTATTCAGTAACTACTAAGAATCATTCAGTAACTATGAATTATTCATTAACTATGAATTATTCAGTATCTACTCTGACTTATTCAGTAACTATAAATTATTCAGTATCTACTATGAAGCTAAGTTCTGTAGTTATGAGAGTGAGGAATAGACGTGTTGACCCACTTAAAAACTAACTACTGAAAAGTTTGCTGAGTCCAGGACTAAACCTAAATCTGGAGAATTGACTGTGCCGACAGTATCTAATATTCCTCTCTTCTCTTTCCTCTGTCGTTCTCTCCTCTCCTCTAGATGGTGGCTAAGCTGCCCATGATGAAGTCAATTTGCAACCTTCACATTGACAAACTGGAGTTTTTCCGCCTGCTTCACCCCGAAACGGCCTACAATTTCCCTCCGCTCTACCGGGAGGTGTTTGGTAGCGAAATCACCTTCCCCGACTCCACTGAGGGCTAGAGCCAGGCCGGCCCCCCAACTGGTGCTTGAGAGAGAGAGAGAGAGCAAAAGAAAGTTAGGAATACAGAAAGAAAGAAAGATGTAGGGATGAAATGAGGGAGGGGTGGTAGATTTGAAGCGTCATTGGCAGACCAGCAGCTCACTGACAATCATGCACGCAACACTTTAGGACTCCAAATCCCACGATCCCTTTCTTCTGGCTCCCTCCGAAAGGGGTTACTGGCGCTAGCGCGTGAGCAGGCCCCGCGTTTTTCGGACTTTTATTTGCGATTCTACACCAGTTGACACAGGAAGCGCCGCGTAGTCGTGTGCACGCTACCTGTTTTAACAGAGTGACAGGAGAAAGTTTAATTTTAGTCGGAGCTCGAATCTCCCTAAAGATGAAGTACCCAGTACAGCGGATTGGGACGCGACCGCCTCTTTCAGTTCTCTTTAGAGAATCTTTATGAATGTACCCTAGTGGATGTGTGGCACAGCCTCAGGAACGAGACGGAATGTATTATGTGTATTTGTCCTGTAAAAATGTGCTTTTAAGGCTTGGTTTGAGTGTAGCAGCGCCCCATTATCAGCACCTCATCACTAAAAAACCGGAGGGACCAACAGCAAGCAGACTTTGTAGTTGTTTTTAGCATTTTAGCATGCTGATCAGGGTCCGTCAGTCTGTTTCTGCCACGCGTGCACTTAGCTGTAGCACGTCCCTAAGTGTACAGTAATCTTGTGCTGCGCCTATGCATGCTTTTCTACAGGGCTGTGGGCAGACAGTGTTTCCGAGGTTGTTATTTTGACCTTTTTTTTAACTATAAATTTAAAATAAACCTCAGTCCCACCACCCTTTCCCCTGCAAATGCCACTCTAGAATGAAAGAGAAAGTATTTTATTAATATTTTTCTGTAATTAAAATAGATACTAAAGAGATTTATTTAGAATAATAGAAGCTTTTGAATATATATATATATCTATATATTTATATTCCATAAATATATCATAAACATGCGTTAAGATAAACAGATAGACAGAAAGAGAAGGACCTATTGAGAGAGCGAGAAAGATGCACCATAAAAGAATGAATGTTCTCAACATCCCTCAAAGACTGCCTGATTTTATTTTATTTTATTTTATTTTGTTTTATAAGAAGCATCCTGGCTCGAGCTGCAGTTTTAGGAAAGCTTTGGATTTCGAGGCAGGTGGATAGCACTTACGGACTCTGAAAAACCTCCAAATGTGCGAACTTGACCTTCTGAACTGGCTCTTCCCTCAGCCTACATGTCACTCAGGATGGAAAGACTCCACAGTGCACACTCGGTTCACTGAAAACTGGACAGTGCTGTTGCCCTGCCGGTGAAGGAAAGCTGGAAGGCCCACTCTTCCTCACTCCGCAAGTGTGTGCCACAGCCACTGCACTGAAAACTGCATCGAATTTACTCGATTCAAGTGTTGATCTCCAACCCTGGTCCTGAGAGCTTCCTTCTTGTACAGTTTAGTTCCAGCCTGTAAGCTGAACCACCCCTTACTTAACCCTAATACATCTGATCCAGCCAGTCAGGGACTTGGGAAGAGGTCGATTAGCTGGAGCAGGTTTGGCAAATTGTGCTGGATCTAGGCTCTGCAGGAAGGTAGATCTCCAGGATCAGTATTGGAAAATACTGGTGCACGTAATTTCTACATGAATAAAACATCAACTGAACAGTGGTGAAAAAATGAGACAGAATCTTATATTTTAGCTGATGATTAATTGCCATATAAGTAACTGCAATGAACAATTTCATAGTATATAATAATTGCAATACAAGACTGACCAGGTTGGCTGATCAGCTGTCTTGCTGCTATCAGCACTTTATTGTATTGTACCAAATTCTGAATTTTTATATATATATATATATATATATATATATATATATATATATATATATATATATTTTGTGCACTATTAGAAAAACTTTTACCAGGACACTTATTTATCTGAACCAATCAAATGATCTAACATTGACCTCAGAATTGATTTTCGGCAGTTATTGTGTTGATTCAATGCATTTTATTCATGTAGAAATAAATGAAGCTGAATGGAGTAAATTCAGTGCACTGCTTCAGTTCAGCTGGGGGATATTCTGGAGGCACCTTGGAGATTATGGAGAGGAAGTGGAAGGGAGGAGCCTCGTGTTATGAGAGACAACAAACGGTTCGATTTGCAGCGACCCAGCCTGAACTGTGCGGGAGGTGGCCGGCCATGGACACGGAGGAAACGGAAATGGGAGTTTTCCTTGGAAATCTTAGCGTCCAGCCTATTCCTCTCATCCCTGCGGAGATACTGTGGAGATTTCTTCGTGCTCCGCAGTGAAGCTGATGGAGAAGAGAATGCTCAGTGTTCTGTGGTGTGATTTGTTCCTCTCCTGACCTGTTTTGACCTTTTCCCTGCTCTCCTTTCCCCAACGCAGTGACTTAACTCCACATAGCTATGACACACTTTTGGTTCAGCAGAGCCAGCAGCTGCCCCCTGAGTAAGGGACTACTACGGTTAAAGTGTATATTCTATTTTTCATACTTTTGCAGAGCAAACCGAAGGACGAAACTAATGTGTCTATTTTGCGCAGATGTATTTTTCCACTATGGTGCGTTAAGCTCTGGAGGAGAGGCTCGGTAGGACGGGACATGTAGCTGACAGCTCACGTTTTCATCTGCTCATCTCCAGCACGATAAGACTTCGCCTGAGTGAAGGCAGGAAGTCCGTACTCGCTGTGGCAGATTAGCATCGGACTCCGGGGAGCTTGGTGTGGCCGGAAAAGTGTTTTATCAAAAGAGCCTTGCTGTCCAGATCCAGTACAGAACTTTTTTTTGTTTGTTCGTTGTTGTTGTTGTTATTTTTTCTGTAGCATTGTACAAACAGGTCAGTCTGAGAAGCTGACTGCTTCTGCCGTTGTAACCGTTAACATTTAGCAAAAACACTTCACTTCTGCCGTGTTTCCGCACTGCTGGAACAGTGCTCATCTCGGTCCAGACCCAACACTTCCTGTAAACCTTTTATACGTATATATAAAACTTCTTTGGTTCTGCAACACTTCTCTAGGTGCATAAAGGAATTTTCCAATGTTTTTTTCTTTCCTCAGATATGTTTTTCCAGTTTTCACTGTTTTGGGGGAGTACATGTTTCTGAAGTACAGTAGAGTGCAAATATGAGCTCTTATAGATTTCCACAGGACATAGAAAGAGAGGGAATTGCTATTATTTGTATCTTCTAAGTCCTAAAAAAAAGAACTGAATGCATCAATTTCTATACATCATCATATCCCAGTTCCCTCCCTCTCTAAGAGACAAGTGGCAAAGGCTAATAGGACACTAGCTGTCAAACTTATAGTTGCTATTACGGTTAATGTTTCTGTTTAATACTCATAAATCACACAAGACAGTGTGCAAGATTTTGAAAAATAAAATTAAGCTAATTCATTTTTAAAATAAAAGTAGCCCAATCACAGTCGCATTTCCAGTGCCAATCACAGGTGAAATGGAAATACATACAAATTTACTAAACACATTATAGACCACGGTATAATATACACATACAGTGCTGTGTTATGACTCATACCACCTTTATTACACAAAGAAAAAGATGTTTTCCGTTATACAGCTGTTCTTTTCAAAAAAGTACTATACTGCATTTTGGAATGAAACATTGACAACATATCCATTTCTATTCTCTCTATTTATGGACATTTGAGTTTTTGATTTCTTAGGAATTTGGCACTTAATCATCTGCTGAAAGGTGTATGATGCAAAAATTACTAATATTTTCAATAATATGTACAGTAAAGAGCCAAATTTGAAATACAGTGAATAGAGAGCAGAGACTTTTATTTTGGAATGTACTGACTCGAAAGTCTTAAGTGAAAAAAACCTCAAGCATAGTGCTGATACTTTAAAGTCATACTAAAATACATCTGTACAGCTCTCTATCTATCTATCTATCTATCTATCTATCTATATATCTATATATCTATCTATCTATTCAGTTAGCTAACTACATAAGTACAGTATCAAAAGCGTTGTACCTCTGTCCATGGAAGCCTGTGAAGCCTTGTGCTATTTTTAGCTTGTGCTTTACTGATTGAGAGGCATGCATTTCACCATACAGACTTTAATACATTGTTATAAACAGTCAGAAAAGTGGAAAAATATGATTTTTGAGGAAAAACCATTGGAATAGTCCTATAAGACAGTGTCATAATGGGACTGTGCAATAGTTAGCCTGTGCCCCATTACGGCATGCAGGACCCCCCACTGCGGGGGGGATTTCACAAACACTCCAGAACTCATCTGTTAGCACTTCATCGCCCCATACGAGGCTGCAGAATTCTTTCTTTAATGTCACACAACTTGCACACATCTAGTATTAACTAATTTAACTTGCAAGGCTGAGAACGATTGTAAAAAAAATGCAACGCTTTGTAAAATCACATGGGACGGGTTCAGGTAAAGTGGGACTAAATGACAGGTGTTTCTTAAAGATGAATTTCACTGATTCTTCAAAGTTTCTGTATAATTCAGTGTGTGAGGTGTAATCAGAGTGATTCAGAGTGGTTTGATGTGAAATGGTTCAGATGTCTTTACAGTGGTGGTGATAGGAACCAGGGGTCGCCATGACTACAACACAAATATAGACATTTTATTTACTATCCAGAACCACCAGTGAACCTACACGAGTCTTCAGAGTTTATATGGAGAATTGATGATGGAAAATAGTGGAAAATCTTTGCGGACTATTTTGCCTCATAACACCCTGCATGTATCCATCCACCATGAATGGAGTTTACAAATATGTTTTAGGCCAGAAATGAACTTAATCAATGTCTCAGGCGTCAGACGGTGTATTAATCACCATTTCATGTAGGAACTTTCTTTGAGGGAGCTTTTAGAGGTGGATGTCTGGTTCCTATCACCACCACCTCTGACCTTCACACCAAACCATCTTAACCATTTAATTCTGCACGAATTTTGAAAAGATTAGTGGAATTCCCCTTTACAGTGTGCTCAAACACCTGAATCTGCCCTGCTTAGGGGTTTTGTAGATGGTGTGTGTGTTTTGTGGAGCGGTGCTCAGTGTGTGCGGTTGCGTTTACACACACTCACACTCACTCAGGGAGTTAGCTGGGCTCTCGGTCCTTTAACGCCTCTCACCCGATAGCGCACCTTTAACCCTCATCACTGTGTTCGTATCTGTTCTCCTCGATGTTTTTCACTGAAGAATCAAAGATTTCCCTCCCTGTCCTTCTGTCCTTCTGTCCTTCACCAGCGCAGGAGTTCACAGCCTGATCTGTAGAAGAAAATAGGATCTCAAAATATGATAAAGTATATCTATAAATATGAAGATTGTTATGTTTTTGTGATCTTCCTCCTTCCTCGTTGGTGTCTCTAAAACCTCTCTTTCCTCACTCGGTGTTCTCCACCTCTCGGAGAATTGTAATTCTATTTTTTTAAGAGCGTTTTTAAAGCAGCAGAATCTCCCCAGTTCTGTTTATGGTCTTGATCCTTCTGTGTTTCCTTTCATTCTGAGTTTATTGAATCACTTAAATTTTAATAACTGTAATTTATGACATATTATTATGAATACGCAGATTTAAAAAAGATAAACATGATGAGTTGTTGTACATTGGGAATACAATACATGGATTAAGAATGTAATAAAGGTCTTTTTACAAAAATGTGACACTGTCTTGACAATCAAACTGGGGGGGGGTGGCAAAAAACAGAAATGCGTTACGAAATGCAGCACTTTCAACAAGATTCAGTTCAATTTAAGCCATAAAACAAACACTTATGGGTCTAAAAGTCTGTAGATCACAGTGTTTCTTCTGAAATGAAGGGTATTAATAGTGAGTTTGTGCTTCATTAACAGCCTCTCCTCTTCTGGATAGGCTTTACACTAGATGTTGGAATATTGCTGTGAGGATTTGATTGCATGCAGACACGAGAGCATTAGTGGGGCCAGGTAGTAAGGATAGCTGGCCACTGTCAACCAGTGGTTAAGCAGAATAATAGACGAAATGCCACTTTTTATCATTCGCTTTCCACTCACAGTCCAATTTACTTATTTTTTCCTCCGTTTCCTTGTTTTGTTATCTTTTGTAAATTAATTTAATAAATAATTTGAACAGCAATATCAGAAAAATAGCCGGTTACACAGCTGAAACCAGTCTAACACAACAACACTGCCAACAAAATCCTAATTATATCAGGCCTAGTCATTCATTTCTTTTCTCGGACTAGTTTGTAATACTCGCCTTAGTTCATTTTCCAAAATAAAAGTCTGTGTGCATTAAAAATTTATTTGAGGACATTAAAAACTAGTTAGACCTTGTATGCAGGACAGTCCGAGGGTGGACCAGCAGTGGCGTACAGTCGTGCTTGCTATCTGATTGATGTTGGATGGTCAGTTCTGGATCATCACTCACCCCAAGGGTGTTGGATGGAGCTCCATCACTCCACAGCCCAATGCTGGGGGGCTTCATACCCCTCTAGCCCATGCTTGTCATTGGACATGGTGACTGTAGGCCAGTGATAACCAACACTGGTCCTGGAGATCTGCCCTCCTGCAGTGTGCAGTTCCAACCACAATCTGCCTCACCTGCTCCAGCTAATCTACTTCTTCAGAAGTTCTTGCTTGTTTGGATCTGATGCATTAGTGTTAGGTAAGGGTGGGGTGGGGGGGGGCAGCATGATAGTTGCAGGTTGGTAGCTGAACTCACTTTTGTACATACATAGTATAAATAAAGTGACTATCATTTCAGAACATTTAAGCCCCAGTGTTGGACTCATAAGTGAACAATTAAAAGCCTTTGCTGCCCTCTTGTGGTCAACAGGTGAACTGCAGTGACAATTATAATATCAGTTGAACAAGAAAACTTATTGATATTAATATGATGCCAATACAAATTGAAATCTGACGGAATAGAACGAATTCTAAAATGTCAAACTTTAATTTTCACTATTGAAAACAATTTCAGTTCTCACTTATAAGAATCCATGGCTTTTCCCAGTCTATTTTAAAGGAAGGGCCAGTCTTTAAAAGTATGGATTCAGTTTTAACATCTGATAATGCTGATTATTACTTGTTTGAACTGAATTATTGCTGTTTACATTTAAAGCGCAGGTTAACAATAAATTAGAGGTCGTGCACATCAGAGGTTTTACTACATAAAGTGCTGTGTTGCCTCACATTCAGGTATATTTGACATTATATGAGTGTTTCAAATTGTCACAAAATTTGTCGGCCTCTTGATTAAAAACATCTCCTTGTATTTACACTCACTGTCCATTTTATGAGCTCCACTGACCATATAGGAGCACTTTGTAGTTCTACAGTTACAGACTGTAGTCCATCTGTTTCTCTGCATACTTTGTTACCCTGTTCTTCAGTGGTCAGGACCCCCATGGACCCCCACAGAGCAGGTACTATTTGGGTGGTGGATCATTCTCAGCACTGCAGTAACACTGACGTGGTGGTGGTGTGTTAGTGTGTGTTGTGCTGGTACGAGTGGATCAGACACAGCAGTGCTGCTGGAGTTTTTAAACACCGTGTCCACTCACTGTCCACTCTATTGGACACTCCTACCTTGTCAGTCCACCTTGTAGATGTAAAGTCAGAGACGATAGCTCATCTGCTGCTGCACAGTTTGTGTTGGTCATCCTCTAGTCCTTCATCAGTGGTCACAGGACGCTGCCCACAGGACACTGTTGGCTGGATATTTTTGGTTCTCAGTCCAGCAGCGACACTGAGGTGTTTAAAGCACTGCTGTGTCTGATCCACTCGCGCCAGCACAACGTCAGTGACCCGCCACCTAAATAATACCTGCTCTGTGGGGGTCCTGCGGGGGTCCTGACCACTGAAGAACAGGGAAACAGAGTACGCAGAGAAACAGATGGACTACAGGGTGTCGCTGTAGAACTACAAAGTGAAACTATGTGTTAACAAGGAGGTGGAATATTATGCAGAACGCGAGTGCGCCGATCGGATCGGAACACAGCCCGTCATGCGTATTCAAAAGCGCATTGCTTTTGTCTCCCTCTTGTGGCCAGCAGGCGAACTGCAGCGGCCGCGGTGTGCAGTACCTAAAGCTGGCGGCAGAGGGCGCCGAGAGCTCATGCAGGGATTTGGGGAATGTGCCTGCGTTGCGCAGGAAACGCTGGTCGCTGAGTGAGTGAGTGCGGGACCGCTAGCTGCTCGCAGTGCAGCAACACTGAGTTGTAAACAAAGTGGATAAAACTAAACTTCGACACGGGACATTTTCTGCCAACGCTGGACGCTTTTTGGGGCCTTCAGAGCGGCGACTGTCCCGGATAAAACCTCCACCAGCAGCGTTTTGGACCCAGTCGTGCTCGTCTCGTTAACCGTTTCGTGTCTGGAGCTGTTGAGGCGCTGGCAGTGCAGAGCAGCAACGTTTCAGCTGAATTTATGACCTTTTAGCGCTTTAATACCCCGTAATCTGCAAATCTACACTCGTTTTGCAGCTCTTAACCACTTTGTCGCTGCCTTTCCGTCGAAAAAACCGGCCTGAAGATCCTGAAGATGTCCGTTGCGGGCTTGAAGAAGCAGTTTTACAAAGCCAGCCAGGTTTGACTCCCAACTTTTCTCCTCTTCTTTGGCTAAACAGTGCTAAAGTTGTGATTTCTCACTATTCCAGGCATCAAAAGTATGTTTTTAAAACATTTACAGCAGTTTTTACTTCCTCTGTTTACTTCCAGTTGCTACGACTGAACTATCTAGCTTAACCTATGTGTACTGTTAGTGCTGGACGATATCGATACAGTTCAATATCGCGATGTTTTTTTTTGCTAATATGGATCATTATCGCCTCACGAAACTGCCTCAAATTCACTTTTCTCTTTTAAATTTTAAACCCCAATTCCTAGTCACCGAAAAGTGTCCACGTGTCTGATTTTTAACACCAACATTTATCATTTAAAGGGCAATTCCACCCAAAATTTTTGTATAACTCAGTGTTTGAGATGTAAACAGAGTGATTCAGAGTGGTTTGGTGTGAAATGGTTCAGGTGTCTTTACAGTGGTGGTGATAGGAACCAGGGGTTGCCATGACTACAACACAGATATAGACATTTTATTTACTATCCAGAACCACCAGTGAACCTACACGAGTCTTCAGAGTTTATATGGAATGTTGATGATGGGAAAACCATGGAAAGTCTGAAAAAGTGAGTTTTCTTCTGGGACTATTTTGCCTCACAGCGCCCTGCATGTATCCCTCCACCCTGAGTAGGTTTTAAAATATGTTTTAGACCAAAGTGATGTAATAATTCCATGTAGTAACTTTCTGTGAGGGAGCTTTTAGAGGTGGACGTCTGGTTCCTATCACCACCACTGTGAACAATTCTGACTCTAAGTCTCTCTAGAGCAGAGTGTTTCACACCAAACCACTCTGAATGACTCTGTTTACAACTTAACCACTTAATTATGCAAAATAAATAAATAAAAATCAGTTCCTTTTTTTAAAACAGGCTTAAAATAAACTGTCAGCAGGAACATCACTATTTTGAGGGTGTTATATCACTGGTATCTCTGTCAAATATAGCAGACATGACGTAATATATGAGTATTACAGTATATTAATATGGTATATCTGAGTAGACGATATATCGTCCAGCACTTCCGCTGGATAATTTGCAGGCTTGTAACTGTCTTTACTGCTTAACACATGCTGGACCACTTTAGCAGAGCGCTCAGTAACCTTATCCAGTGCCGTTTGCTCTCCAGCTGAAGTGTTGCAGCCGCTTCAATGAGGGTTTTAATGCGTTGTCATTACTCTCTCAGCCAGTGTGGCGTTTTGGAGGTGCGTTCATGCCAGATTAGAGGGTTGCAGTGGCAGGTTTGTGGAGAACAGGCTGGCAGGTTGGCCAGCACTGAGGATCCAGCTTAGTAAAGTGTATATAATCACTGTTGTCGGAAAAAAACCTCCAAAATGGTAACTTTACTGGAGAAGGAAAAAACATACTTTAATTTTAATGTAAGTCAATGGAACCAGACGTCTTTCCAAGTCATTTTGGGTCATTTACTTTTGTCCATTCATCATGAAATTGACATATAATGTAAAGGGCAACAGGTATTTTCAAATTATGGCAAAAACGGCAAAAATGGAGATACGAGGTTTTGTTCCGACAACAGCGATATGCTTTATGATAGGGCTGAGCAATATAATGATATATATTGACATTGTGATAAATTGTATCACAATATACTACAATACGCTTTTCTGAACATATCGTCAGTACTTGTACCTTAGAACACTGACCCACTGTTTCATTATAAAGAGAGCAGAATTAGTTGGATTTAGTCCAACACAGTATGACAGATACTGGATGTTCATTATTGTATTCGCAGTTATTGATGACGTTTTTTACAATGTAGCAATACTGGCTCTTTTTTCTCTGTTCCAACTGATCAGATGTCTGAAAAGATAAATTATGATATGTCGCGTAGTCGTGATAATTTCTTCTACTATCGCGATATCTTTCTGCCATATCGCCCACCTCTACTTTAGAACATTGGGCCTCATTCACCAACCGTTCTTAAGAAGAAATTTCTTCTTAAACCCACTTACGCAGTTTTCAAGAAAGCTCTGACATTCACCAGTGTTCTCTTATTTGGGGTTCGTTCTTAGGTATGAATCAGACACATGGATCAGACACAGCAGTGCTGCTGGAGTCCACTGACTGTCCACTCTATTAGACACTCCTACCTCGTCAGTCCACCTTGTGGATGTAAAGTCAGAGACGATAGCTCATCTGCTGCTGCACAGTTTGTGTTGGTCATCCTCTAGTCCTTCATCAGTGGTCACAGGACGCTGCCCACAGGAGGCTGTTGGCTGGATATTTTTGGTTGGTGGACTATTCTCAGTCCAGCAGCGACACTGAGGTGTTTAAAAACTCCAGCAGCACTGCTGTGTCTGATCCACTCGTACCAGCACAACACACACTAACACACCACCACCACGTCAGTGTTACTGCAGTGCTGAGAAAGATCCACCACCCAAATAGTACCTGCTCTGTGAGGGTCCATGGGGGTCCTGACCACTGAAGAACAGGGTAAAAGGGGGCTAACAAAGTATCAGAGAAACAGATGGACTACAGTCTGTAACTGTAGAACTACAAAGGGCACCTATATAGTAAGTGGAGCTGAAACAAGGAGGTGGTCATAATGTTATGCCTGATCGGTGTAAATGAGTTGTTTTTGTGACATCACAAATGTCGTGAGTTCAGAAAGGCAGCTTGGTTTGAACTGGTGAGTCACGTATGCACAACACCAAACTCTTATTTCATGATTTATTCCACGATGTCGGCTGTTTAACTGTCTGCCGGAAGACGGACGGCGTGCTGGCAGGAGCTAAATGAATGCAGGCAGGCAGGTGGATGTAGATTTCAAAGTCCGAGGTGAGGCTGACTCGGCTCCGGCCAGGAACCAGCTGCCAGATTTGCCGAGCTCAGGCGCAGGATGTTGCTGAGTCCAGCGAGCCGCTGTTTCCTTCAGGTTGGGCTTCTTTAAACAGGCTCACATCTGCCGCTCAGCAGTTCTTCTGCGGGTTGTGTGGGCCTGTCATGCTGAACGGCTTCAGCTGTGGTTTGAATGTCCTGTCTGCTCAACCAGCATTGTGTTTTTATGGAAAGCAGCTGGTTAATGGTTCTTTTTCCTGGTCAGTTACCTCAGGGCTTGTCGTGGCAGAGCCTGGGTCATCAGGCCGCTTTCACTTAACCGAATGTATTATTAGCTGCGAGTCGTCACGCCGCATACTGATAACGATCAAGGAAAATAGGGACAGTGTACGCGCAGGTTGAATGAGATCCATTGTAGGTGGCAGTACACCGTACACAACAGTGGTTTTAAGGTCTGATTGTGAACCTTAAATACGTTTTTCCAGGTGAAAAGTTCGTATTTGTACCTTTTCATAACCGAATGTTTTAAAACAGAGCAGTAAAATAAAAGCTTGGAGGCGAGACGGGGTGTGTGGAGTCAGTACAGCTTAGAACATATCATTTCAGTGGATTATGGTTCAGTTATGTTCCCTGACTAAAGGTACTGAGATGGACCCTTGAGGGATCCACCCCAGTGACAAGAGGGGCACTCCCCCAGTGAAACAGAGGATTCGGACACTCCAAACAGAGAGTTATGAGAAAAAAAAGAAAAACCAGCAAGATGGAGAACGAGAGACCAAAGAAGCCCACAAATGTGAGAATTTTCTCCGTTAAAAAATTACGATAATCATTGTTTTCTCATAGTTTAATGTCGTTTCAGTGTATTATGGTCGTTTTCTTCATAACAAGCATAAAAAATCACTAATAGCATGCTAATGTTTTGGTACCTAGGTAGCTAACTTTCCCGTTCCACCTTAAATAGTCCAGCAGTTCTGACACCTGAAGCGCCAGAATGTAACTGCTGCACCTTTTAAGGTGGAACGGAAAATTCAATCAAGAAGCTGGTGAATAGAAAGCCAACTTCGGCCTCGTCCTCTTGTGAACCTAAATATAAGATAACCTTTGTTTTGATGTTCAGTACTAGTTAATACTTCTGAATAACAGACTTAACATCTTACATTTAGGAGATGTTTATTGCTTATTTAACAAATACGCGTTTCACAGTGAAATATTAGTGTGTCTGCCAAAGCCGAAGCTCGTCCATCCTTGTTTAACGTTACGCCTCTTTTTCCCGACCAATCAGAGGCTTTGTTGCCTAGCGTCCTCATCCGTGGAGGTCGCCCAGCTGCCATGCGCTTGACACAGCAAACGAAGCCTCCGCGCGACGTCTGCGGTTCTTTGTTTTCTCCGCAGTTACGTCACATTGTTTGCTGAAGCCAGGCGAACGTCGTCTCCGCAAGAAGTCTACTGAGGCCATAACGTGGTGCGTCTGTGGAAAGCTAAAAGCTGCAGGTGACTGTTTTAGCCCTTAATTTAAGGAAATGACCCCAGGGGTTCCTTTCTTATCAACTTTCAATTATCATTGTCCTTTTTCTTTTGCTATCTGCTCACAGTGTAAGTGGACTGACGCTGTCGTCAGGTTAAGTTGTTAGTGGGCGTCAAGTTTGGATGCCTCTTTAGAGATGTAAACAACAAAAAACAACAGTGGAAACGTTCAGCGATATTAGTTTTGGCATTACTCGCAAGAGCATATCCCACCCAAACCACACTCTGTGCTTTATTAAGGTCGCACAGACCTGTCGCAGTGGTTTAGGGCATAGTATGATCTTCTGTGAGCTATAAAAATGACCACTACCAGCTGTTTCAGACAAAACCAGGGCAGATACTCACAAAGCAGGACTGCTCTTAGATCAGAATCCTCCATGTTTATGACGGTCACTGTCACAGATACTGATGTCCCGATTGTGGATCAGCTCCTGGGGAGGTTTGTGAATGCAGACTCTGTTGTCTAAAGTGGCTGCCTGCGGTTTTGCTCATTTGAATACTGCGTACTGTGTCCTGCATCATATCAACACATCTTTATAACCTTAATAAAGAACAGGATGTGGTTTGAGTGGGTTGGGAGGAAGGTATGGGGACATATTATTTGGGCTATTTAGGTGCCTATTGAGGTCTGGTGTTTGTTAGCAG